CGTGTACACAAAAAAAACCCAGTTTGCCACACCGCACGCTTCTTTGTTGCGCGCAGTCGTGTCCTGTGATTGGCACCTCTCCCTACCCACGGAACCTCCACGGTACTTCCACAGAACCTCCACAGGAGGTCTGATTGCTTAACCGTGCTTTAGTTTGCCCCGGGGCAAACAGCCACGCTTCCCCCCCCCGCAGTTTCCTGCCCGTGTGACCGGAGCCATAGATGGCCAAGGAGCTTGTCTTTTGGTCTTTGTTCAGTAGTGGTAATGTCAATCTCCATGTTTCAGCCATCCTCACTATCTGATGAGCGTATAGGCATAGGTCTTCATTTGGTGTGGAGGTCCCCCACTTCTTCATCCAATGATGGATCTGATGGAACTTCTGAGCTATGTTCAGAACCAGCCAATATCTCCTCTTCTCCTTCATCAGAATCAAATGGAAATTCCCTGAGATATGGCTGCAGTGGAGCCAACAACAAAGCGGAAGGTTGGTTCCAATGATCTGAAGGTCAGCAGGAGCTTTGGTACACTGTGGAGGAAGAAGATGGTCCCCCTAATCTGGACAGTAAGCAGGGGACATATAATAGGGATAAGGCTGCCAAGGGAATGGATAATGCAATTGAGACCAGAAAGAAGGAGTTTTGGATCCATATGCACTGGCTCAAGATGCATAGTTGGCACCAGACCTGAGGAGATGCCACCTTCTAAAGTGGAGCATGAGGGTGAAGCTGAATGGACTGAAGTTGTTCTTGGAGGTTCAGTAACAGGCACTTCAGGTTCAGGCACCAGTTCCATTGGAACCAACCCGGAGCAATGAGGAACTGACATGGATGGAGATATGGAACAGTGTTAGGTAGGCTCGGAATGGGAGGTCGATGGAACCAATACTATCAAAGGTAGTTTTGAGGGCCTATTAGCTGATGAAGCCATTTGAGAGGGCTTTTCAGAGGATGATAGGGTTTTCTCCTATAAGGCAGCCTTTAAATTGGAGTCTCTGTTGTTTCTAGCCTTTGATGTGAACTGCTGGCACATATGGCAGGCTGCCATATTATGCTCCTCACCCAAACAAAGAAAGCAGAAGCTATGTTTGTCAGAGTGGGGCATTCTGGTACCATATTGGATACATGTTTTGAATAAGGCTTTTTGCACCATACTTTGCACCCTCGAGTAAAGCAAGGTAAGGTGCAGAGGCAAACCATTTGGCCTTAACAATGTCAGCCATGAGGTGATTTAGCTACCCACCCTCTTCTCTCTTTCTCTATCTTCTGGGGGTGGAGGTGGGGTTTGGTGATGGCCAGAAAGGAGGGAAGGGTTTATCTCACCTCCTAATGCTGTATTTCCTCTATTCCAGTACAAGGAATGTACTAAAAATGTTCTACCTCAGGAGAGCTGTTGAAGAGAACCTACCCAATGAGAGCAAAGAAGGAACTGAGGGAGAGGGGGCACTCCCCATTGAACCATTTGACAGTCTAACTGGGAAAACAGCTTGCAATGGCTTTGAGGGGGAGGAGCACCCTCTAGGTGAGTTTTTTAACTTGAAAAGTAATCTTTCTGGGGCAGGTCTGCCTAGCAGCCATCCCAATGTGCGCCTGCAAAGAAAACTGAACAAGCTAGTTACATGTCATTTTTAAAAAAATCATATATATTTTTACCTTCTATGAAGTATCAGTGAGGGTGGGCACTGCTAGGGTATTCATCTAGCGGTGAGCAGTGACCACTGGGAGCTGCTGTGGAAGAGTCCCACCTCTTCCCTAGAAGCAGTGACAGCAGTGGCAAGGAGTGCCTGGCTGGTGGGAACTGTCGCCATAGGCCAGGAGACTGGGGATGGGGCTTGATGCTTGGATGTGGGAGAAGATGGATAATTGGGCAAGAGAGGTGGCATGGTCAAAAGAGGGGGAGCTTGCTGGAATCAAGGCAGAGGGGGATTACTGTAAGAGGAAGACTCTGAGAAGAGCTTCTGAGCCTCCAAGCCTTCACTTCAGTGTTCTAAGCACACAAAGTAGAACTGTTTCTTCTGCTGAACTGCAATGGAAACCAATTGGGTGCTCTGTACCAGAGATAACATGTGTTGATCAGTTGCTTGCAATATAAATACTGTTTTAGAAACTATGCACACTTGTATTCATTGTACAGGTTCTCAGATGTGAATAATCAGGGGTCATTTGGGGCCGGAGCGCGCTGGAGCACTGCTCCGGCAGCCCAGGAGCAGGCACAAGCCTCGCTCCCCACCCCACCCCCCAGCTCCTTCTTTCTAGAGTCACACTGCAGCAGCAGCGTGATATTCCCGTTATATTCTATGGCTGCATAAAATATAATGGGAAGATTGCACTGCCACTGCGGCGTGACTCCAAAGAGAAGGGGTTTAAACTTCAAACCCCTTCTCTTTGGAGTCGTGCTGAAGTGGTGGAGCAATCTTCCCATTATATTCTATGGCCCCATATATATATATTCTACCCCTTCTCTCTTCGCTCCCACCCCCACCCCACCTTGGCAGGCTGGCTGGGGAAGCAAAAAATGGGGGGAGGCATCATCAAAAGCCTCCCCCCTTCCTTCCTCAGCTGGCCTGCCAAGGCGGGGTGGGGGTGGGAGCGAAAAAGAAGGGGTTTAAAGTTTAAATCCCTTCTCTCTTTGCTCCCTCGCCCGCCCACGGAAGGGAATACTTTTGAAGATGCCTCCCCCCCTTTTGCTTTCCTTTCTGACATCACTTCTGGTGATGTCAGGGGGCATGGCATATGCTAATAGGCTATTATGCTAATCGCCTGTTAGGTATGCTAATGAGCTCCCGCAGCTCTTTTTCTACGAAATGACCTCTGTGAATAATTAATCCTCCGTTACTTGCTCAAAGTTCAAATCCCGCTGATCTCGGCACAACCAATTTTCATGCACTGGATTGGCGACAAGTAGCCAATGGTCAGTGTCCATTAGAAAATATTGCACTGAAATTGCTGTGCCAATTCACTGCTTTTATCTTAATGACTGCAACTACCTGCACAGGAGGGATTCTGCTGGATTGTAGAAGAGGTCTTCTATGAAAGGCCAGTTTGTTGACACTGAAGATCTCCACAGGGAGAACCATTCTCAAGGGTTTCAACATGTGCAAACTGGAAATAACATGCATTTAATGAAGTCCAAGCAAAACCAGGATGATAGCAGTGAGTACTTAGGCATTTATTCCCAAATTTTACATCTTGTTGAATTCAATAGGATATGGTTCCTAGTAAATGAACATAGAATTGCCACTTTAACTGCTTGGATAACAGAATGTTCTTAAGAAAAGCCTAAAAGGGGGAAATGGACAAATTGTACAAAGTTGGTTTCTCTTCTAAGCAAGCTAAAAGCCAGAATGACACAACAGAACTTGGTCCAAATTTTATAAAATCCCTCCCTCCCTCAGTACAAATTATACACACGCACACACTCCTGATATCATTGCAAGCCTTTTTGTCTTTTGCTGTATCAGCAAACAACATGTAAAGCAAACCTGTAATTTCTCCAGGATCAGTTTCATCCCATAATGTCCACACATCAAAATAAATAACCATTTTTTACTTGATTTCAGTAGTTACTAAATACCAAAAAACAATGTCTGCCAGCCACATTGCTGACAGTCTCCACATTCTACACTTCATTTCTTATGAAGAGATTCTTTCTGGTGCAGAGGAATCTCCTAGAAGGATGCTGCATTTTCTTGGGGTCAGCTGATATTATCAACATTCTTAGGACTGTCCCAATTCAGAAAGCAGGCTGGGCAACTGAGTGATCCCACTTGAAAACAACTCCCCACTCATAGAAACCTAGTATATCAGAGAGAAGCCTAACCTATAAAGTGTTTTGTGGGGAGCAGCATGCAAATATTTGACTGCTTACCTGTAACCTAAAACAGAGCAGGCCAGGAAAAGTGTAAGTAGTCCTGCTGATTGTATACACTGGCTATGAGAAACATTTCAGGTGAACTGAAATTAACATCTCAAAGATATGCTGGTGTCCTGGAATGTCTTTCATTTTCCCTTAGTAGATATTGCATAACAGCCATGTTGAATGCCTTTCACATATATTTGTGCTTACTGTACCCATACAAACAGATTCCAGTAAACTTTTATCGTTTCCTAAGGATTACAAAGAGGAGTTTCTAGAGGAACAATGCAGCTTTCATATGAAGCCGTGCCTCCAGAATTTACTAAAAATATATATGTATATATATAAACGGTAGGTTCATTTAAAGCCAGGAATGTGTGTGTCTAAATTGCATTGATAAGTTGCAAAATACTGTCACACTGAATGATTTTGCTATAATTTAAGGAGACACTGGAGCCGGTGATAAGAACTTGCTACTTTTGAGTACTGTAATCAATGCTCCCTCTAAGCTGTGGAGTCTTGTGAGCAAAAATTCTACTTTGTGAGCTACTGGCATGAAAGTTGTGAGCAGGCGATTTGGCTGCTGCATAAATGAGTTTGCTCTGGAGCCACCCTTCCTGAGCTGAGAGAAAAATGTGTGAGCCGGAGGCTAAAAACCTGTGAGCTGGCTCACACTCACTCAGCTTAGAGGGAACACTGACTGTAATCATAGACAAGTAATATAATAGATCCTTTATAAAAATCTGACTGGCCAGCTCCTAAGAAAACAAAAACAAACAGTTTGCACAAGGACATCCAGGGTGTAAATGTGCATCCCACAAAAATTCAGTGGCAAAATTCCTACAGAACTTCCCGCCACTTGTTTTGCACCATTGTTATTGCAATCCATCCATGGAATTCACTCTTCATAAATGCACAAAAATACAGTTGTTCTGAAAAGGTTCTCCAGTTCCTCTTTCTACCATATCGATCATATTAACTTATTCTAAAATAATAGCCTAATTCACAAAAATAAATTCTTTCAAAGATACCCATGCAAAATGAGTATTTACCAAAATTAAAATTTAACCACAAAAAAGTATCCAGTTTTAAAATGTTTATTTTCCTGCCTGAAATGCTTATTTCTCTAGGCAGTTGCCTTCCTGTTGCTTAGCTTTTGTAGAGAGTTAAGAGTTCAGATGTCCCAGGTTAGATGGAGCTTCTAACGTCAACGGTGATTCTTCATATTTTGAGAGGGGCTCTATTCCTCTTGCAAAGAGGTTGATTAACTGGCAGTGAACCCTGCAACAGAAAGACAGCGAAGAGTCTTGACAAGATTATAATCACATTAATGATGATCAACTGCTGCTCCTCAACAGTAGGAGTCACACATTTTTGGTGAGTACTGCCAGAATAATAGGAAATGCCAAAAAATCAGCAATGTCAGGTTCAGTTCAGACATGCATATGTTCCTCAACCTATGCTTCTATCTTCTAAGACGATAAAGCATTCAGTCATTCACACCTGAATGTGTGAATTGATCCTATTAATAAGCATTACTTCTGAGGTGATATGAGGTGGCATGACAGTTCTGTTTGGTCCAAGATGCTGTATCTATTATGCAAGCTTTTTTTGAGTATCAAGGTGAACTTGAGAGAGGTTCCTCAACTGGTGGAAAATGACCTGGGAAAAGAGTAAGGTGATGGGAAATGGGCTGCCCACAACAAAAACCTAGATAATATTACTCAATCCATTGAATTTTAACCTACTCTATCAACTAAAGTCAGGGGTCGTTTCGGAGAAAAAGAGCTAGGGGAATTCATTAGGGGAATTCATTAGCATATGCCACACCCCCTGCCATCACCGGAAGTGTGTCATAAGGCCACATCCACCACTCAGTTAGTCTTAGTCTTAAAGGTTAGTCTCCCCATCCAATGCAAAAGGCCATCAACAATTAGATCTTTTTTAAAAAAACCCAACCTGTTGTGCAGCCCTTCCCCTGGGACTGTCTGCGCTGCTTTAAAGGAACATCTCGGCTCCCGGGTTGCAGAACTGCACACACCATGCTCCCCCTGAAACCACCCAGCCCAGAGCTCTGCACGCGCATTCCATGCACAGCTACAGCTGCATTACTTGAAGTTTTGACATATGGATATTTGCCACTCAGATCGCACCCCCTCCACACACACACACATAGAAGCTCAATAAACAGGCCACCCACTCTGGTATCTGAATTCATCACTGAGACAAGGTTATCCGCCTCACATGCAGAAGGACCCAGGTTCAATTCCTGGCATCGCCAACTAAGAGATGGGTGATCTGGCCCTGAACTGGATGGCCCAGGCTAGCCTGATCTCATCAGATCTCAGAAGCTAAGCAGGGTCGGCTCTGGTTGGTACTCGATAGCGACGCAGAGGAAGGGCATGGCAAGCCACCTCTGAGCATCTCTGGCCTTGAAAACTCCCTGTGGGTTCGTCACAAGTTGGTTGCAACTTGACGGCACATTCCACCACCAATGGTGCTATGAGAAGCCTGAGAGGGCCCCTCTAACCACTGCAGACAACACTGACCTTGACGGACCCCAGGTCCAACACAGTAGCCCCACCCTCAAGCTACAAGGGAATGCACCTGGAACCTGCGTGTGCAAAATTCACAAGTAGCACGCTTGAAAAACAGATCTGACCAGAAACCACGCGTTGCAAAAGGTTACAAATCTCAGCTTGGTCCAAGCGACTGACAAACACCAACTTAGATTTTCAATTGTTCAGAATACAAGACGGTAGGGCGGGACAATTCAACCACAGCACCACGCATAAACTGACACGACACAAACTTCAACAGGTCTCACCCTTTGCCAAACTGAAGTACCACCTTGTTTACAGTGCACAACTCGGGAAATCATCTACCAGGTTCCGTCTCGAGCAGAAGCTACCAGGTTCCGTCTCGAGCACCCTCCCTTTAAGAGGATCAGGTCGTGGGGGGGCAAGGCCAGAGTCAACCGCGGGGACCTGGGACGAGCCAGAGGCCATGGGGGGGCGTTCAACTGACGGGTGGCCTGCCGCCGCCGCAAGGCTCCCAAGGACGCCCAATGCCCAGGCGGCCCCAGCGCTGCTGCTGCTTCCACGTGCCCACAGCTGATCGGGACAAGCGGACGCCCCCCGCCCTTCACGACCCGTCTCCACCAGCACACTCCTCCCCCACCGTGCGGGGACAACCCGGCCCAGAGGGAGCCACGCCGCCTCTTCCAGCCGAGCAGCTCCACAGGTGCGTACGGAGCGGCCCCCTTGGGGGAAAGACGGGCCGGGCACACGTGCAGCTCTCCACCTGTGCAGGCAGCCAGGCTCAGGGCCCCAACACGCTCTGGGGGCAGCAGGCGAGGGCACCCCGAGATTGGTGGGGGCTGCCGGGTGAAGAGGCGATCACGGGGGAGGGTGGATTGCGGGTAGAAAGTCTGCTCAGTCCCCGGGGGACCCCGACGCCTCCCGCCCTGCACAGGAGGTGCCGGCTGCAAGCGCGGGGAGGGGGGACACGTACCTTTTGTGCGGGGAGGGGGGAGAGGCGCTTGGCGCAGCCCGGCGAGGGAGGCGTGCGAACGCATGTGGCGCAACAGCAGCGGCCTGAAGCAGGGGGCGGGGCTTCGTCGTGTGCCCCACCCCCGCACCTCCCCAGGGGGATCGGTGATCCCCCGCGATCCCCCCGAAATGACCTCTGTCTAAAGTGTTACATTGTTAATAGAAAAACTACCTTATCTTCTGTTCAAACCCTTTTGAGGAACCTGTGCATTTCACTCAGTGATCTCCAATGTGCAGCCCATGGGCATCATGGTACCCACTGATGTGTTTCCTAGCACCCACTTACTTCTTCCCCAAGCAAAGAACCAGTGTGGCTTTCATGCATTTTCTTGAAGTTGGAGATGCTTCAGAAGAAAATAGGAAGCATTACCTTGGGGTCTGCAGGAAGTACCTGTTCAGAAATAACTGCCTCCATCGTACAGTCTCCCAAGATTTTGAGAGAGGCCCTGACACTCCATGTCAGCCATTTTGAGACTGATCCCTATGGCAGGCATTCTGTGGCCACTCCCCTCCCTCAACATTCCAAAAATTCCCAAGCATAGGGACTCCTGTGTTAGAGATACATTTGGTTAACCACTACTTTTTCATATTTTCATTAGGAGGTTGCTGTTATCTTGACTTCTTCCTAAAATGTGTGTCCTGATACCAGTCCCTCCCATTGCCTATTAAGTGTGCTGGTTGTGGACAAAAAGTCTCACAATGACAGCCTCAGACACCTTTTCCCCTCTCTCCCCTCCCCTTCTTTTTATTAATCTTATTAAGTGATGCTCTGTCATCTTGGTGCTTGGGGGGGGGTCAACAGTGGGAGGGCTTCTAATGTCCTGGCCCCACTGGTGGACCTCCTGATGGCACTGGTATTTATGGCCACTGTGTGATACAGAGTGTTGGACTGGATGGGCCTTTGGCCTGATCCAACATTGGCATCTCTTATGTTCTTAATCTTGATAAAGAGCTTTGGAAAATCTGAATGCTTGCACATTTTGGTTGGTCTTAATAAAAAGCTTTTGCACATCTTTTGTTTTTGTCTATGTGTGTGAACCAAATTCCAGTTTTCTGTTTGTTCTGGTAACCCTATAAAAGGTTTGACATCCCTGTCAAAGAGAGAACTAGTGACCAAGTAAGGCATCTCCCCCTCAGCACTTTTTCTATACATTGATCCATTTGAGAAAGTAAGGTGCTCACTCGACTTCGATTGCTGAACTTTCCAGAGTCTCCCCATCACAGTTCCAGGTGCTGCTGGAAAAGGTGCAGCAGCAAGCGGGATGGTCTCTGCAGAACTGCCCAAAGTGCTTCTTTTGCATATCTCTGATGTCTTCACTGTCTTCCAAATGCCGTGATGTAAAATGAAACTTCCTGATCCGATAAACCTCTACGAAGGTGAAGTTAAACTGTAGAGATATGATACAATAGTTGCAATGATCACGAAAGCAGCACAAAAGGCTACTTGTAAACAAGAAGCAGGGCTCTGTATATTCGGGAGACGTCCCCAGGTATGTTGAAAAATATGACTTTGTAAATTAAACAAAAGGGGGGAAGAACCCAACACCAACCATCTTTATTAGAACTAAATATACTCCACAAGAATGGAATGTTATGAGCACCTGAGAGTCAGTTGGGGGGGGGGGGTAAAGGAAATCAGCTTGCTTAAATCATGGAAGATGTAAAGAAACCTAGTGGGGGAGTTTTGGCAGTGTGGGGTTTCCGAATTGTTCCCCCTCCACAATTCCTCATAGAGCTCCTGGCTTGTATATTACTGTAATAATACCATATAATGTGTATAAACCTGGCAGTATATAAAATATTAGCCACCTGCTTCCCCCACCCCTCAACTGAAGATGCCCTTGCTCCAGAGCTATACAACTGTATAACCTTTTGGGGGGCAGGACCTGCTTTTTGCATGAGATTGTTAGGAAGGACATAGGAGCTGGAACTTGGATGCTTTCAGAAACCAGTGCTATAACTGAACTTCTTGTAAGTTACAAACAAAATTTTTGTCTTTATTTCAATTTATATCTTGCCTTGCCGGTGCAGCAGTGGCTCAAGGCGGCTTACACAGTTAAAATACAATAGAACCAATAAATACAATAAAAATTCACAATTAAAATAAGAACATGGATAGCCTTAACTTAAGCTCTGAAAATACCGCAGTCCTGCAGACAGAATACACACCTGATCATCCTCGTTAGTATGCCTTATGAGGTACCTCAGAAAATTGAATCGAGAGCATTTGTGAACGAGAATGAGATCTGCACAGCCGTCTCCCAAATGAGCAGATGGTGAAAGGCCTTTTGGACTCCGTGGGCAGGCACAACTCATATTGGCTGCATTGATGGCTAAGAACTTTCCTCTAATAACCTTCCATTGATCTGTTTCGTCATACCCTTAAAGGAGAAACAGGTATACTCATAAGGGTGAAAAGAAATGACTGCTACTTGCTACACTTTGGGCTTCTGAACAGATTTTAAAGTACAGTTGACACCATTACATGAGCAATAGATAACAGTGTATGTTACAATACAGGGATTATTAGCAAGACAACAAAGGCCCCGTTCATATGAGGCAGTTTGGGCCGGGAGTGGGCCGGATTGGAAGCGCATCAAACGGGTGCGATCCCACGCCAACATCTGCCTGGCGTCGCGCTCCCGCCTCCAATCTGGCCCCTCCCCCGATGAAGCGCGTCAAAGATGAACCACCTACCTTCGGTGGTTCATCCAGTTGGTCCGCTTCATCCTGGCCGCGGGATCGGCGGCGCGTCTTGCCGCCGTCGTATCCCCGGCCCCCTGCCGTACTGCGCATGCTCGAGCATGCGCAGTTCGGCAGCCTCCCCCTTCGACTAGAATCTTCCTCCCCGGTATCTGATCATGCCGGGGAGCAACGGAGCGCGGCTACCGGGATCCATGGGATCCCGCCGCGGCGTTTCTTTTTTGGCGCGGCTTTTAAAAGCCACGCTTCGCCCCGTCTTTTCCCTGCCGTGTGGCAGGGGCCAAAGTTTATCAAGACTTTATTAAGACTTTTATCATTTTTAAAGAAGACTTTTGTCTGCAGGGCCAGTGTCTACTGCTTTTCCTAATTAGATAAATAGCAGTGATCCCCATCGTGTGTGTGTGTGTGTGTGTGTGTGTGTGAAGTGCCATCAAGTAACAACTGATTTATGGAGACCCCAGCAAGGGGCTTTCAAGACAAGGGAGATGCAGAAGTGGTTTGCCATGGCTTTCCTCTGCAAAGTCATCCTTGGTGGTCTCACTTCCAAGTACTGGCCCTGCTTAGCTTCCGAGATCTGGTGAGACTGGGTGATGCCATGCTGTCTTGCCTCCGTGACCCCAACATGGCTCCCATTAATGTGTTTCCTGGCATCAGTTTGCTCCTTAAATCTTAGAAAAAAATTGAAAGGTATTGAATGAAATAGGAAATTAAATAGAAATCTTCAGATTACACCATGCCAAGTCACTCACAAGCAAAGTACTGAATTCATCCAGACAGGCATGTCATAGCCATGTGCCCTCAGCTTGGCCACAGTTACTGACTTTCTGGGCTTGGCAATCTCTCCCTGTGGCTGCCCAGGGAGCAAACCCTCCACTTTCTTTAGAAATAGAAGCTAAATAATGTTTCCTCCTCAGTGCAAAGAGCTGAGCCAACCTCCAGTGGTAGCCATTTAGTGATCTCCTATATTCTCATAGAGCCATTTTGTGGTGGTGCCGCTCATTATATTTCCTCAAATTTCAAAAGTGTCCATAGGCCATGGCTAGGAATGCCAATCCCCGGGGGGGGGGGGCAGGAGATTCCCCCAATTTCGCATGCTCCTGCATGCTGCCAACCTGCTGGCCAGTGGTGGAAGCCCTGCCCCAAGCCCCGCCCCAAGCCTCGCCCCCAACAGCATTCACCAGTGGCCACCCCTCTTGCAGATGAAGTTGACATGTAACTCTGCCTTGCTCACCTTTTGGCCATCTTGGAAGCTCTGACTGCTGAAGCCAACCAGCCTGGCTTTTGGGACTCTGGAGACAGAGTACATTTGGACCCAGAAGTGAATGGGTAACATCTTGTCTTTGAGAACCAAGGTTCTATTTTAGCTAGTTTGTTCATCTTTAGCTTTCTTGTTTCCCCCCACAATACTATTTTAAGTAAGTTTGCACTCTTTTTAATAAATATACTTCTGGTTTCTGTCTCCACTGCTGCAATAAGTTCTGCTGCCTCAGACTGTTGGTTATTACCTCTAGAATAACCTGTGGGTCTCCTGCTGTGAGCCAACCTCGCAAGGAGGATTCCCTAGTTGAGCCCAGTAAGGTTAGGAGTCTGTCCTTTGGCTCTTGACTGGAGGGACATAAAATGACTGGTGGTAGCACTACCTGGTTAAAGGTATACAGGTGCCTTTAACCCCCATTTGTAATTGTAGCTAGCCAGCCTCTTAGTGAAGAGAACCCCTAGCCTGGGTTGGGCAGGAGGGGGGGCTCTCTTTGACACCTCCTGCAAGATTTAAAGGGCCCTCCATCTGATTGGTGGGAGCATGTGACCCGCTGATCAGCTGGAGGACTCTTTAAATCTTGCAGGAGGGTAGGGAGAGGGGTGGCCATTGGCTGCATGTTTGAATTCCAAGCGACAAATTGCAAGAAGCGGGGGGGGGGGGGCGGTGTGCATGCCTGAACTCCAAGTGGCAAACTCACTACTTGGTGTTCAGGCGTGTGGGGTGCCGGTCCCCAACATGATGATGTCACTTCTGCATGATGTCATTGCACTGGGGACATCCAAGCCCCCTCCAGAAATGCCCCCCAAAGTCCCCCACCAGTAACGAGGAAGGACCTGGCAACCCTAGCCATGGGTGTGTGTACAATGAACAGTATGACAGAAAAGAGCTGTGTTTGTTAATTGAACGTATTAAGAGCAAACAACAGTACATCAACTGGCGTATATTCCCCTCTATCTAGGAAAAGGATTATAGAAGTACTTTATCTTGATTATTGAACCAGTTAAATAAAAAAGGTTCCCTTTGGAACACTGAATAGCACTGAATTGCATCTTGGCAATGGACACAGGCAAAAGTAAAATAAAAGAGAATCATGTTTATTAAGTACAGCCAGAAAAGGAGATTAGGAGACTGCAAACTCTCTTAGTTCCCTTCCCCAGCAAATGTAAGCCACAGTTCTGCCCCACTGCCTGTTCTTTAACAGTTGTTTATTGGGGACCCCACACAACAGTCATGTTGGGGACCCCACACAATCCATTGGAAAAAGATCCTGAACAGCTGCTGTCCAGATTTGTTTTGTTTTTTCTCAGTCAGGACTGACTTATTTAAAAGAAGCCAAAGGCTTTAGCATGTCTTTAGGGAAGGCAGTACATACAAAACCCTAGCTATGCTTGCAATGCTCCAATACTTACTTTGAATTCCACTAGTGAGGTGAGTTTGGAAACAGTAGCTACATAAAGGGCATCCCAGTGCCTGTATGGGATGGGGCGGGGGGTGTTCCTAAACCCTAATGAAGCTGTGAGCATTTTTTAGAATTTTGAGAAAGGATGGTGGGCACTGTTAGAAACTGGCGGCAATGGGGGTGGGGTAAATCGCTGATATTGGGGAATGGGGATAGGACTGGCTCTTTGCTTTGGTGAAGAGATACAGTTTGGAAGAGTTTGGTCCCTGAAGGACTACAAGAAGATGAGAGGCAGAACAAATTCTGTATCTGCAACAAACCCGAGGGTATATGGTGGTGAAGAACCTGCCTAGAATAAGCTCAGTGGATTGCTAGTTAGCTTGTAGGGGGAGACCCTTTAGATTTTATCCCACAAGACTCAAGATGTAATTTGACACTATGCTCACCCACAGATGCCATGTTGGGGATCATTAGAGTAACAGAGACTAGGAAGTGTGGGGTTTTATTTACTCCTTGTCAGTATACTTTTAACAGCGGATATTGTATGTTGAACACACTGCACTATATTGTAGAGTTGTAAAATGGAGCTAAGAAAGTTGCTGGCAAATGCCATCCAGATGTATTTTAGTGTGTCCTGTAATTCTGTCAACATACAATCATCATCTACACAGAATGAACATTAATACTGACCACCAGAAAAAATGTAACTTTTAAAGAAGCCTGTTAGGCCAGATATCCATTCTTGAGCTCTGCCTTTACCCATTTGCATTTAGGGTTTAGTTTTATATTAATTCATGTAACAAATTCCCTAGAGGCCAAAGGCCCAATTTCCTAACTAGGCAGGGCTGACTTCTATGCAGTATACAATTACCACGTCGGTCTTTTTCAAACTTCTGCAGCTGTTCCAGCTGTCGCTTGCTTTCTTTGCAAATGCGGCACCTGGAAGACAAAAGTCAATTTAGTTTTGACTACAGGGAAGAAGGAGCTGCGGTGGCTCGTGGTTAAGACGCTGAACTGCAGGCTGCGGAAGGTCAGTAGTTCAGCAGTTCAAGACCCGGGTGCCGCAAGACAGGGTGAGCTCCTGTCTCTAGTTCCAGCTCCTGCCAACCTAGCAGTTCGAAAGCAAGAAATTGCAAGTAGATAAATAGGTACCACTTCAGTGGGAAGGTAACAGCGTTCCGTGCACCTTGGTGTTTAGTCATGCCGGCCACATGACCACGGAAACGTCTTTGGACAGCGCTGGCTCTTCGGCTTTGTAACGGAGATGAACACCGCAACCCTAGAGTCGGATTCGACTGGCTTTCGAGCAAGGGAACCTTTACCTTTATAGGGAAGAAATCACACTATATGAGTTTTGAAGTTTCCTAAGGCTGACCTTGGGGGTGGGGGTGTTTGCAGCCAAGCCACCAAATTTTGGAGCACTTTGAACTAGGCTTACCAAACGCCGGCGGGGGAAATCTATTTCCTGGCAGGATGCGTGCCGCGGGGGACGGCTGTGCGCGCTGCACCCGCCGTCGCCAGGATGTGACGCTCCGCGTTACCCTGGCAACGGGACCCAAACAGCCCCGTTGCCAGAGTAACGCGGAGCGTCACATCCTGGCGACGGCGGGTGCAGCGCGCACAGCCGTCCCCCGCGGCACGCATCCTGCCAGGAAATAGATTTCCCCCGCCGGCGTTTGGTAAGCCTACTTTGAACCTGGTCCACTTGACTGTGGACTTTGCTGAAGCCATCCATTTACTAGGCATTTATAAATTTGAATGCTTTCTTATTTTGTTTCTGACATACTCCTAAATTTTATAATTGATTATATACCAGTACTAGGTTTTACAGTTTTTTCTTTCCACCCTGGGCGCCTGACAAATGGGGCACAGCATATAAACAATGAACACATAATGGATGCCTATATGAACATATACCCTCTACAGAGTCAAACCACTGTCCCATTAAGCTTCATTCTGCTTATAGCTCTCTAGGGCTGGGGTCCCTAGCTTTGATGTGCCTGTGGGCACTTTTGGAATTTTGAAAAAGGGAAGTGAGTGCCACCACAAAATGGCTGTCATGGGAGGTGAAACTAATCTCAAAATGGCTGCCACTGAAAGCAAACACTAACGGCAACCAAAGAGGAACACACAGTGTAGGTATACAAGGGACTAGCCATCTGTGTGAAAAAGATGCTAACACTAGTTCAATAATGACCAAAGTATTAATACAAATACAACCATAGAAGCACAATATTAAAGTAAAAAAATTTCCTCTTGAGGTGAAGATGCATGAAGAATAATATAAATGAAGAATCCGGATATTAAGAACTCTGTTTCGAAGAACTTCCTCAGTAACGGATAAACAATGTATCTTCAAATAGGTTATACGCACTCTTGTGAGTTATAACAAACACATCTCATAAATGGGCAGTTATTGACAACACATCTCAGGAAAAGCTCAAGGGTTGCAATGTCACTGGCCTGGTGGAACACTCTCCCAAGAGACATCTGGGCACTGCAAGACCTAGTGCAGCTTCTCAGGGCCTGTAAAATGGAGATGTTCTGCCAGGCCTATGATTGAACCAGTGGTGACTTATCAGCATTGGCCTTCCATGGCGTGTTTCCATTTCATATTGTTCTACTCATCTGCCCCCCCCCTGTATTATTAGTTATCATTTACAGTGCACAGATGTGAAATTTATGCAGGAACAGTGGTATTAACCAGCACTATAAAGGTAAAGGTTTCCCTTGCTAGAAAGCTAGACGAATCCGACTCTAGGGGGCGGTGCTCATCTCCATTTCCTTTTTTTTAAAAAACAGAAATTTTTATTCAGGATATAAACAGGGGTCATTTCGTAGAAAAAAGAGCTAGGGGGACTCATTAGCATAACTCATTAGCATATGCCACACACCCTGACATCACCGGAAGTGTGTCCTCCCCACAGCCGGTGGCGACCTTCAGCGGGCACCAGCAGGGAGCTCCAGGCCCCGCCCTCCCGCACCTCACCCGGGGGGATGGCGTCCCCCCGCGTCCCCCCCAAATGACCCCTGGATATAAACATACATATTCAACATTTCATTTCTCTATTTATCCCCTTAACGTTTAACACTCAATTTTCTATTTTTATCCCTGTTACATCCTGCCCCCCTCCCTCTCCCCTCCCTTATATACGGCTTCCCACAGTGCTTTGACCTCCTGTCTCTATATTTCTGTTCCCTTTTGCTTTTCCCACCACCTCTTACTTTGAATCACTAGGTAATTCTTATTTTATAATATCAATTATTTCTATTCATAATATAACTTTCAGATAACTCTATATTTAATAATTATTTCCATTATAGCAATTATTTCTACTCATTATATACCTCTCAACTAACTCTTGATTTAATTATTGTTAAAGCAAAACAGATTATCTTTTATTTCCCAGTATTTTTCTAAATAATCTTTTAAGTCTCTCCAGTCGTTATAAAATTCTTCTGCTTCCCTATTATTTAATTTTCTTGTCATTTTATCCATTTCAACTGCAAACAATAATTTCTTCATCCAATCTTCAGTCTTCGGGACTTCTTCTTGTTTCCAACATTGCGCATAAGTAACTCTAGCTGTTGTCACCATATACCACATTAAAGTTCGCTTAGTTACGTTGACCTCTTCTAATTTCAGTCCCAAAAGCAGAAGTTCTGGCTCTTTTTTAAATGTATATTTTACAATCTTTTCCATCTCTGAATGAATTTGAGTCCAAAAGTTTTTTGTTTTTTCACAAGTCCACCACATATGATAAAAAGAGCCCTCCCCTTTTTTGCATTTCCAACACTTATTCGACATATTAGTGTTCATATTAGCAATTTTCTTCGGTGTCATGTACCACCTATACATCATCTTATAACAGTTTTCTTTAAAGTTATTACATGTTGATATTTTCAATGCATGCTTCCACAAGTACTCCCAAGAATCTATTGTTACTTCTGTGTTCATGTTTATCGCCCACTTTATCATTTGCTCTTTAACTGTCTCTTCTTCCGTATACCATTTTAACAACACTTTGTAGATTTTTGAAATACATTTCTTCTTGCCTTCAAACCAAGACACCTCAATCTCGTTATTTTTTTCCCTAAATCCAAAAGTTTTTTTTATCTTTCTTGAATAGCTCATTTATTTGTCTATAATCAAACCACCCATATTTAAACGCTGTTTCTTCTTCCATTTTCAACACGAACAAATTCCCTACTTTTTTTAGCATGTCTCTATATTGTATCCAATCTTCACCTTTAAATCTTGAATGTGGCTTTATTACTTCTGCTGGCACAATCCATAGCGGTCTCTCATCCGAGAAAAACCGCTTGTATTTTAACCATATGTCAAAAAGTACTCTTCTTATCACATGATGTTTAAAAAAACCATCTCCCTTCACCTTTTCATACCATAGGTAAGCATGCCACCCAAATCTACAATCATGTCCCTCTAATGCCAACAGTTTTTTGTCTTCTAAAGTAACCCACTGTCGTAACCATGTTAAACATGCCGCATCATGATATAATCTAAAGTTTGGCAGTTGTAGTCCTCCTCTCTCCTTGGCGTCACAAAGAATTTTCATTTTTATTCTTGGTTTTTTTCCACCCCAAACAAACTTTGAGATTTCTCTTTGCCATCCATCCAATATTTTCCCGTCTCTTATTATTGGAATTGTTTGAAATAAAAACATCAACCTTGGTAAAATATTCATCTTGACTACTGAAATTCTTCCCAACAACGACAAGTTCAATTTATTCCATTTCTCAATGTCTTGTCTTACTTTAGACCAAAGTTTATCATAGTTGTTTTTGTACAACTCTATGTTCTTCATTGTCAAATCTACTCCCAAGTATCTGGTTTTATTTACAATTTCACATTTTGTTATTTGCTACAATTCTTGTTTTTCTTCTCCTTTCATATTTTTGCACATTATTTTCGATTTTTCTTTATTAATGTAAAAACCTGCTAATTCTCCAAATTCCATTATTTTCTTTAGAATCAATGGTAACTTCTGTATCAGTTCTTCAATCACAAACATTACATCATCAGCAAATGCTCTATATTTATAGGAGAAACCTTTATTAGTTAGGCCCGATATCTCATTATCTTCCTTGATCTGTTTCAACATTACTTCTAAAATCCATACAAATAATAACGGAGACAAGGGACACCCTTGTCTCGTTCCTTTCTGCACTTTGAAGTATTCTGTGGTTTCTGCATTTATTACCAATGCCGCCTTCTGCTCCTTGTAAATTGCTTCAATCATGTTCATAAATTTCTCACCAACATTTGCTTTTCCAAATACTCCAAACACAAAGTCCCAATTCAGATTATCAAACGCTTTTTCGGCATCCGCAAAGAAAAAAACAACCTTTTTCTCTGAATGTTGATCATAATATTCAATTGCATCAATTACCATTCTTTAATTATCTTTTATTTGTCTTTTGGGTAAAAAGCCTGTTTGTTCTTCTCCAATAGTCTCTTGTAAGTACTTTTTAACTCTCTCCGAGATTATTTTGGCAAACAATTTATAGTCATTATTCAATAGGGAAATCGGTCTATAGTTTTTTACATTTGTTAAGTCCTGTGTTTCTTTAGGTATAAGTGAGATTGTAGCTTCTCTCCAAGTTTCTGGAATCTTTTTTGTATCTCTAATATCATTCATTAAAAGCTCAAAAATTGGGATTAGCTCCTCTTTTATTTTCTTGTAAAATTTTACTGTAAACCCATCCGGTCCTGGAGCTTTTCCCAACTTTGCATCTTGTATTGCTTTATCAATTTCTTCTTTAGTAATCACACTTTATTCCTTTAAATTTCTCCGAATTTTTTTCTATGTCCACTTTCTCCAAATATTCTTTTAGTTTGCTTTTATCCACATTCTTTTTTGCAAATAATTTTGCATAATATTTATAAAATGGCCTCTTGATCCCATTAGCATTCGTTA